CTCCTGGGAGGTACAGCGTCTACCCGAAGGTTTATTGCGCAATCCCCTGCCCGATGAGGTGGTAATTTAGTCGCTTTATTTTTAGAGAAGACTTGTGCCAGATCATGGTATTTGGGGGGGAATGCGCACGGTGGAGGCACCGTCTGGACTTTCCACCGTGGTTGCACCAACGGAAACACCCATACAGTGCTAGCCATGGAATGCCTAACACCACAGGGAAAGCAGGAGACTCAATGATGGAAAAAAGTGACCTGCTCACAATGCGTCTCCTGTGTGATCATGGTGACTGGTACCGTGACTTCCTTTATCAACCCGGACCTTAATGGTCGACTATCAAGTGCTTTGATGGGGCGTGGAATGGATAGGGGAACTAATGAAATGCCCTGGCGGCGTGCGAAAATTTTGTCCATAAAGTTCCCAGCGGCGCCTGAATCGACTAGTGCCTTACACTGAGAAACTCTCATGCGATCAGGGAAGTATATGGGTATAGTACAGTTCTTAGCAGAGGGCTCTGAACAAGAGTGGGTACTCAATACCTGGGGTGATGCGAGAGTGCCCTGCCGACCGCCTCCTGACCCAAAAGAGCGCTGACGACAACGTATGGTGGAATGTCCCTTCGTGCCATCCGAGTGGCAATGGCACTGTCGTCCTCCGCTCTCTCGGTGCGTGGTACCACCCAGCTCCATGAGCTTTGGATCCGCGTTGGTCGGGGTGGGAACGGGCAGACCTCCTCCAGGAAGCCCTCTGGTTGCCAGCAGGTTATCCAGACGAATGGCCATGTCCACCAGTTCGGGAAAAGACAAACTGGTGTCTCGGCAGGCTAGCTCCCATTGGACGTCCTCCCGTAGATGGCACCGGAACTGGTTGATCAGGGCCCGCTCGTTCCACCCGGACCCTACTGCCAGGATCCGGAACTCCAGCGCAAACTCCTGTACTGTCCTCATCCCCTGCCTCAAGTGGACCAGCTGCTCACCCACCTCTCGATCCTCGGGCGGGTGATCGAAAACCGCCGAAATAGGCGGGCGAACTCCCTGTAGTCCTCCAACGCGTCTCCTCCTTCGCATTGGCCCACTCCAGGGCTTTCCCCGAGTGGCAGGAAATGAGGACGGACACCTGCTCTCGATCTGATGGCGCTGGCCTGACACTGGAGCAGAACAGCTCCAGTTGGAGAAGGATTCCCTGACATAGAGCCGGCGTCCCATCGAACGCCCGAGGTCAGGATATCTGGTTCCCTCCGGGTGCTGTAATGTAGGTGGCTAGATCCGGTTGGCCAGCTGGTCTTGATAGATCGGTTCCTCTTCTCTCCAGGCGTTGGACAACCTGAAGAACCCGATCCATCGTTTCCCCCAAGTTGGCCAGCATCGTGGAATGCTCCTGGACCCTTGCCACGATTCCAGGTGTGCGCTCTTCTCCCGCTGACTCCATAGCTGGTGAGTGATTCTGTGATGAGGTGTGAATGACGGAGTCAGGTGCAGGAGGTAAAACACCGAAATCAAGAGTTTATTCAGTGTAAAATAATGTTGCGCATATAGCGACAGAACGAAACTAGGACAAGGGAAAATCAACCTTGGCTGCATACAAGTAAAGAGTAGCTCAACCGAACTACTCACTCTCACAACGAACAATCACTCACAAAGGACAAGGGGGCAGAGGGAACACTTATACACAGACTAATGAGGGAATGAGTACCAGGTGTGTGTGATTGACAAGACAAGACAAGACAAATGGAGTGATGATGAATGGAGCGGTAGTGGCTAGTAAGCCGATGACGACGAACGCCGAAACCTGCCCGAGCAAGGAGGGGCAGCCTCGGCTGAATTCGTGACAGGTTTGCTTAATATAAGGACTTAAAAATTATTTATATTTTTACTTTTGATACTTAAGTATATTTTAGCAATTACATTTACTTTTGATACTTAACTATATTTAAGACCAAGTAGTATTTTACTGGGTGACTTTCACTTTTACTTGAGTCATTTTCTATTAAGGTATCTTTACAATTGGGTACTTTTTCCACCACTGGTATTCACTCATGGGGTTGAGTACTCATCTAATCAAGACAATGTGTTTTATTGTTCTTTTTTTTTTTTTTTTACAATTTTTTTTTTTTTTTTTTACAAATCTTAGAATTTCTTCCACTTTGACATTACAGAGTATTTTGTGTAGATCATTGACAAAAAAAAGACAATTAAATCAATTTTAATCCCTCTTTGTAAAACAACAAAATATGGAAAAAATCAAGGGGTGTAAACACTGTCTGAAGGCACTAAGGGCCGGGGTGGGGCTTATAAGGATGGGACCATCTTCTCTTTTAGGCTGATGATGCCAGTCTGCAATAAAGCCATAGCCTATCATTGCCTTGGGAAAAGCTGACCAGGCTGGTATTTCGGTTTTGTCCACTCACAACAAGCATTACGATTTTTGCGAATATCATAAAGTACATTTCATAATGAATTTCCTATGAATTGTAGCTTAATCATCATGAGTGCTGCTGATGTGACGTCACCACAGCCCTCAGTATCCCTCGCTCCCTCCCTGCCCTGGACCTGGCTGAAAAATAATGTAAAATATAGACAACCATAACACTCAAACCAAATGGCATACGCACACCTGCACAAAAACATATTAATGTTGAATAATGCTTTGACAGTTTTTCACGGCTGTGCTGCATAAAACCATATCAATACGCATGCGTCGGTCTCTCCGGCTCCGGTCTCAAAACACGCATTCAAGGTACAAAAGCAGCTTACTTTGATTATCCTGTATGATCCCAAACATCATGAGACATGGCGTTGTCATAACTGAAAGTGGTGTCTGAATTGTGCTTCTTGAAATAGTTTAACATCTATTTACGCTTGAATGTAATTTTTTTTAAACCCTAAATGACTGTTTCTACGAATGCTAACGCGTTAGCTGCACTACTTATAACTATGGTGGCTGCTAGCTAGTTGTCGTGCCCTGTATTCTTCGCCACTGATACAATACTACCATTTAGCATAGCCTTGGTGGCGTTATAGCTAGTTAATTGTAACGTTATCGGCTATTTCCCGGTGTATGCCTTATACGTTGTGTCTGATGTTTAAAACATTGTTATCGTGGGACCCAGGCATTAAGTAGCTAGCTGGGTAACGTTAGCAAAGCAAGTAACGTTAACTAGCTAGCTGTAACTACCAGTTAGCTAACTAGGCATACTTGCCATGATTAAGAGACACTGACAAGTGTTCAACCTTTCTACCATATATGGTTAATGTCTTCTATATAGTCAATTTTAGGCTAACTGTCCCCAGCTAGAACTGTTTGCTGCCGGCTAGTTAGTGTTAGCTAGCTTGCTAAGTAAAGTTATCTAGCTAACTACTAGTCTACTATCGACCTAAACTCCACTCCATGGTGAAGAAGGAAGTTCCCGATGACTCCACCAACGGAGTGGCGCAGAGACCAGGCTTTGTGGAATCTTCTCTGACTACATGATTCGCCCAAAGTCAATACTTTAAAAAATAATTATGAAACCCTTATGAAACCTTGTACAGATGTTTGTTCTCTGTAGTTGCGTGCCTTTTATTAGCTGAAATCCATTATTTTTAAATAAACGTTAATGAACTACAATAGACTGTGTCCTTGTTGAGATTCAATTATAATATAATAATATGCCATTTAGCAGACGCTTTTATCCAAAGCGACTTACAGTCATGCGTGCATACATTTTTTGTGTATGGGTGGTCCCGGGGATCGAACCCACAATTGGTATCTGCGTGCAACAGCAATGAGCAAACAGTCACTTGTATTTGATTATTTATTGAAAAAGTATGGATTTCAGCAAGCAACTACAGAAGACAAACATCAAATCAAAATCAAATCAAATTTTATTGGTCACATGCGCTGAATACAACAGGTGCAGACATTACAGTGAAATGCTTACTTACAGCCCTTAACCAACAGTGCATTTATTTTTAACAAAAAAAGTAAAAATAAAACAACAACAAAAAAAGTGTTGAGAAAAAAAAGAGCAGAAGTAAAATAAAATAACAGTAGGGAGGCTATATATACAGGGTGGTACCGGTGCAGAGTCAATGTGCGGGGGCACTGGCTAGTTGAGGTAGTTGAAGTAATATGTACATGTGGGTAGAGTTAAAGTGACTATGCATAAATAATTAACAGAGTAGCAGCAGCGTAAAAAGGATGGGGTGGGGGGGGCAGTGCAAATAGTCTGGGTAGCCATGATTAGCTGTTCAGGAGTCTTATGGCTTGGGGGTAGAAGCTGTTGAGAAGTCTTTTGGACCTAGACTTGGCACTCCGGTACCGCTTGCCGTGCGGTAGCAGAGAGAACAGTCTATGACTAGGGTGGCTGGAGTCTTTGACAATTTTGAGGGCCTTCCTCTGACACCGCCTGGTATAGAGGTCCTGGATGGCAGGAAGCTTGGCCCCAGTGATGTACTGGGCCGTACGCACTACTCTCTGTAGTGCCTTGCGGTCGGAGGCCAAGCAGTTGCCATACCAGGCGGTGATGCAACCAGTCAGGATGCTCTCGATGGTGCAGCTGTATAATTTTTTGAGGATCTGAGGACCCATGCCAAATCTTTTCAGTCTCCTGAGGGGGAATAGGCTTTGTCGTGCCCTCTTCACGACTGTCTTGGTGTGTTTGGACCATGATAGTTCGTTGGTGATGTGGACACCAAGGAACTTGAAGCTCTCAACCTGTTCCACTACAGCCCCATCGATGAGAATGGGGGCGTGCTCAGTCCTCTTTTTTTTCCTGTAGTCCACAATCATCTCCTTTGTCTTGGTCACGTTGAGGGAGAGGTTGCATGGGCACATGGTAGGTGTTTCATAATAAAAACAATTGGAAGGATTGACATCAGGCAAATCGATTACACAAAGCCTGTTCTCTGCTCCAGTCTGTTGGAGTCATCAGAAACTTCCTACACCATGTAGTTTAGTCAGCTAGCTAACTACAAGTCTTGAATTTCCGTATACACACCCAGAATCAGACATTTATTTGATTCATGCTGTGGGTCAAGTCAGTTGAGGTAGCCAGCGTTCCAAGTGTCTTTAGCTGCTGTAGACCATTATATTACACGCCATGGAGGAAGTCTCAACGGCACAGCTGATGCATGTTGACCTTACTTGCATGTAACGTTAACTTGAGTGTTGTGTGTTAAACAGCTGACAGCAATGTTTTTCTCCGCCCCTCCAGATGCTGATGCCCAAGAAAAATCGTATAGCCATCTACGAGCTCCTCTTCAAGGAGGGAGTGATGGTGGCAAAAAAGGATGTGCATCTGGCTAAGCACCCGGAACTGGCCGATAAGAATGTGCCCAACCTTCACGTTATGAAGGCCATGCAGGTTAGATTTTGTACACATGATTGAGAATGAAACCAGGATAGGATCAACTTTATTGTCCCTAAGGGGACATTTTTCTTTGACACCCAGTATTGTAGCTGTAAAACTTTTTACTGGTTTGTTGGCAAAATGTCCTCAACTGACTGTGACCCTCCCTCTGCAGTCTCTGAAGTCAACTGGGTATGTGAAGGAGCAGTTTGCCTGGCGCCACTTCTACTGGTACCTGACCAATGAGGGCATCCAGTACCTGAGGGACTTCCTGCATCTGCCCCCAGAGATTGTTCCTGCCACTCTGCGTCGCCAGATGCGCCCTGAGACCGCCCGGCCCAGGCCTAAAGGTAGGCTGCATATCATGACTGTGGCCTTTTCTCATTTGTAGAAAAAGTCTGTCCTCCGCCCTCTCTCCCCCGTGACCCGGAAACCGATAAGTGGTCGAGGAGAGTTGCCCCGTTCAAAACAACTGGGAACTCTGAAAAATACGAAGTAAAATCATGACGTCAGTGATCTTCAGGTCGGAAAGACGGAGCTCTAGAAAGAGGCCTGAGTTGGATGATGGTTCAAAATGATTTTTCCCAGTCGGAGCTCGTTTTTTTTTTCCTGCGTTCCCAATTGTTTTGAACGCACTGAAGTTGAAAGTTGGAGATTTCCGAGTTCCCAGTTTTGAATGCGGCAAGTGTCAATTCGTTATTAGGCAAACGGAAGACTGTTCTCCCCTCCTCGATAGCCTCCTTTTGGCGAGGAAGCACAAGTGTATCCTACCGGAGTCCTTTGTGGAAGAGTTTTCAAATCTGCCACACCCCCTTTGAATCTGCTATTGTTTTCTTGAAGGATTAAAGCATGCAAACATTTAAAAACAATATGCTACTTATCCTTTCATCTATAAAATGCATTGCATAACTAGCCAAATAATTTAATCACTTTATACATTTATTTTGGGGTTCCAACCTGTAAACGTCATTTGCCTGACGACGCGTGATTGGAGGAGTCTCATTTCATACAAGCGCATTTTCGTCCACTTTCCCTCTCCGCCACTCCTCGATTACCTTTGACCTTTTTCAAAAGGATGCTAGAGAGGACAGGAGTTCAGGAAATCCAATTGCGAAAAGGCCCATATGTTTCACCTGGGTCCTGTTCAGGAGGGTGCACTGTTCAAATGTAACTATGTAAAACAGATATGATTGTCATGTAGAATTGGGTATCATGTCAGCTCTATTCATTATTTCTGTGATTTTTGTAATGCACTTCCAATCAGTAATTCCAGTTTGACTGATTCCTATACTTAGGCAGCAGGTTTCCTTCATGGATGTATAGTGTGGTGAACATTGCAGGTGTTATGCCAGTTGTTTGCAGATGAGATGAGTGGTGTAAAACATCCTCCTGTTTCAGGTATGGAGGGTGAGAGAGGCGAGAGGCCAACCAGGTTTAACCGTGAAGGAGGAGACCGAGACAACTACAGACGTTCTGTTGCACCACGTAAGTACCCAAATCACCTGTTTTATGTTCGATAAGCATGCACCAATATGGAAACACTGGGCCAATACCAATATTTGCTTTGCCACGGTGGCTGACCTATGATGCAGCACATGGTAAACTGAATGAAAATTACCTAAATCTCTACTTGTTTGATGATCATACTTTGTCCTTTTAGCTGGTGCAGACAAGAAGGCTGAAGCAGGTGCTGGTGCAGCTACTGAATTCCAATTCGTAAGTAAACACTTTCCCAAGCATTTGAATCAAGGATGGGTGCCATGCTATATTGTAGGCCAATTGTGATCTTCAAGGACCGAAAACATACCAACTTGTATTGTGTGTTGCAGAGAGGTGGTTTTGGACGTGGCAGAGGACAGCAACCACCACAGGAGTAAAGCAGACTGTTCTTGTACAGTATAATAAAAGGTGATTGGTGTAATCGCAATGTGTTATGAATTTAATTGCACGGGATGTCAGTGATCATTATAAGATGTATACACTTGAATTTGTAGGTGGTAATGACTAAGCTTTTATTTTCAATCTAGGTAAGTTAACGAAGAACAAATTGCTCCATAAGCTGAAAGAAACCCAAAGAAAAGAGAACACTGAAATACTGGTGTTTTATTAATTGGCACAATTAATTTCACATTCAGTCTTACACTTTGTACCCATTTAAGAAATCTGATGTGAGTTGACAACATGGAGATGTTTAGCCATATAATTGCAAGGCCAATTGAACAAGGAACAAATGCCTGTCTGATTTGCCCGATTGGACCATTGCACGTAACGACTAACAATTTTTAAACACCAGCCTTCAAGAAATATTTCCTCATTTGATTTGCTTTATCCTGTTAAAACCCTTAACCTTACCAGTAAACTGAAGTAATCAATAATGGGAAACTGCGATAACTGCCATCACCTGGTTAGATGACCCACAGCCACTAGATGGCACAACCTCATGACAGGCCTCAGACAAAAACATGGGCATACTGAGGAAAATAATGAAATTCCTACTGGCCATGTATGTACTTATAACAGTCATTATGTCCTGGTGCAATATTGTATGACTGTTAGGTCTACCATGAGTAGGCCTAACCATTTCTATTTTTACATGTGCCATAGGCAAGTAGTCAAAAGAAATTAAAATGCAGTTCACATGCAAACATCACATTCTTATGTTCAGGGTCAATGTTAAAGAGGAAAGGAACCAAAACTCCATGATAGGCAGTTACTAATACATAAATGTTGCATAACCAACTAAATGAAATGCATCTAAGCAAAACTAGCCAACCGAGGGCCCAAGATACCACAGGGCTAGGGCCATAAAGGTTAAGAGGCTGTATAAAACTTAAACATTGGCAAGAGACAGTTCAAAGATGAACAGAGGGAGGCTGAAAACTAACTGAACTCTGTGCCAGATCAGTTGGGTCAATGTGTAAATTTGGACCAATCCAGCTCAGCAAGAATAGAATATCCTAATTCTTTGTGCCCACATACTTGCCTAAATGCTCAGTGGCACAAGCTGTTCTGCCGGAGCCAGTCAGTTTCTCACACCATGGACAACAAGACATCTTACATTGTTTGTTTTTGGGGGGCCTGAAAAAAAAAAAAGGTCTAAAACATCATTATTGAAATACGCACATACCTACCCCATCAGGGTTTTGAGCTGTTTAGCAGAGGTCTCAGGAGTTTTTGGTGCAAGTGCTGCAACATCAAAACCAGCTAGCAACTACAAGATGACAAGTGTGAGCGAAGAAGAATCTACACATTCATTTGTGGGCCAGGGAGACAAGCAAACAACAGTACCAAACTCCAGGGTCAGTAGGAGAGTTTGCTCTCTGCATTGACAGACTATAGCTCATTAACATATCTACCAATCTCAGTTATTTGTTCCCAAGTCCTGACAAGGCCAGAATCACTATGGTTCTGAGACTCAGCATCCGTCCATTCATCAGATGAATGCCATTTAAATGATTAATTTGAACAACCAATTAACATACCAAAAGAAGACATAATATATTAAGACCTGTTAAAGTATTTTTCAAGAAAAGAAAAGAAAAAACTAACAAAAACCTCGCTGACAAGAAACAAGTCCAGTGTTAATTTAAGGGACAATGCAGAACATCACAGTGTAAACATTTGTTAGGAATACAATTCAGAATTGATGAAATCACAAGTGTAAATGTCCTCACCAACGTGCAGGTGATTTATCTTGGCGTTGCATCTCCGGTTGTGCAACCTCTCTTCCTGCATCACACACAGGCTGCGTTTAGACAGGCAGGCCAATTCAGATATTTTTTCCACTAATTGGTCTTTTGACCAATCATATCAGCTCTGAAAAAGATCTGTGATTGGTCAAAAGACCAATTTGTGGAGAAAAAAATATCAGAATTGGGCTGCCTGTCTAAATGCAGCCATAGTCACACACGCAAATACACACACCAATCAGTCCTCAATTTACACAATACACACACCAGAAGGTTATTAGTACAGACTGATAAATGTCCATAATCTGCAGTCAATCACCATGATAACATAAGAAAATAAATATGAATATTAACAAAGTAAATGGATATAAGATTATTGAATAAAGTGGAAACCATAACATCAATTTGAGTGGGGTCCAGAGTGGCATAATCTTCCTAGTGCCATTTTAAAATTAGCCTTACTATGAAAGCACAATAAAACAACACCTAATGACATTACTCCCCCCCTCCTGATACACAACCTGATTCATTAAGACTCAAAAGACTAGTCTGGGTTCTTGTTCCTTTCCCCTGAGGATCAGATAACATGCACAATTCTCTGTCTTTCCGGTCATTGAATTATAAAACATCTTCATAGTCTGAAATAGACTGACAAGATGTGAGACAGCAGATGACTTACATTTCAATGTTCTGGTTAGATGTGCCCCATTGTGATAAAAGGCCCAAGCTACTGTGGGAGTAGTTTTTGTCAGCCCCTTATCAAAGCTTCTCTCTCAAAACAACAAAGCTTGTGCTACCTTCACAATGTAATACAAATGGGAGACTGTTTGTACCAGATAATTCCATTCCTACAGATTGCATCACACAAGACACACCCATGTAGCTTTACCACACATGCAAAATAGGAAACTTTCCCACAAGCCCATCTAACTAAAGCAATGCATTCTTAGGGGATTAGGAAATATATGAAAAGAAAACCAACAATAGAAAATGTCATACTGAAATACTGTCATACTTTACAACTCTTAACACAGTTGGGAGTATGTATTACACTAATGATCTGTCACGGTACATGGTGGGAGGTTATGTCATTCTTATGAATGCCATATAAAGGGGTGTGGCAACTTCAAGTAAAGTGTTAGCAAAACAAGACCCTTAAGCCTGTCTTCTTCTGTAAACACATTCAATACCAATACTTTACATCACCACAGCAGAAAGTTGCATTCAACAAACCTCATATTTATGACAGAGAGGAACCGAGGTAAAGGAGGACGAGTTTGGAAATATCTCATGCAATTATTAGTAAAAAGCAACAAAAAAAACTTTCAAATTACAAAGTGTTATATCTTCTTCGCCCAACACTTGTCAAGTCTGTACCTCCACTCTGGCACTAGAAGGCTGGCAAGGCAAACATTTCTGTTGATATTTTGAAGGTAAAAAAAAGTTGTAGTAGGAGCAGGATTAATAAGAAAAAGAAGCAGGTAAAAGATGTGGAGAAGTCTCCAGGAGTTTCAGTTATCTTATACTCGATCTGGAGCTCTGGTTGATATTGTAGGTAGGGGAGCGCTCTTCTCCCCCTCTCGTGGTCACCAGGGGTGTCCCGTTGCTGCTCAGGCTGCCATGTTGTAGGGCCTCAAAGTACGAGGCCTGCACAGGCTTGTGGCACTGCAGCACTCTTCTGGCATCCTCTGTATTAAACCATTCCCTTTTTCTTCCTGTCAACACAGGGATAAAGAGCAAAGGGGAGTCAGGAAGGGGGCCACAAAAAAAACAGATTTAGTCTAGATTCTCAGAAATGAAACATGACTATGAAGAATCTACAATAGTAGTAGGATATACTGGTTCAGAGGATCAGCTGGCCAATCCATATGTCGATGAATCAATTTGATAACAAAATTGATTGTCCAGTCATCACAGCTTCCACAACTACCACAAAAACTAGAATTAACGTACCAATATTTAACATACCGATATTCACAGAGTCCTCCCAGTCTTCCAACATCTCTGTAACGATGAGGACATAGACATATGTTCTGTGCTTCCTGTCTGTGTTCTGAGTAGGAGTAAATCGAGAAAAATTCTCAGTGCTCAAGGTTAGGAGGCAAAGAAGTTGAAATAAATTAGCAGTTCCTCCCACCCCAAGTTTAAAGACAACCAACACAACTATTTTTTCAGCTCACCTCGAAAATTCCTAGTAGACGCCCCAATGTCCCCTTGACACCAGCCTGGAAAGACAACATGGCCAGTGGAAATGAAACAGCAGATAAAACTTTTAATAATTATTCTTAGTAAAAGCAGGACACTTGTGATAATGTTTTTGCATTTTCACCCGATGAGACCTGGGGGTTCTGAGAATTCATGCCATTTTCAGTCACGGGGCGGGGGGAGGCCATGGTTGTGTATGGTCATGGAGAGGGAGGGATCAGCTCCTATTAACATGGCGTCATCGTAGTACTTTCTTCTTCAGGTTACAGTTTTACTCTATTTATAAACATGGACTCTCAATCAAGAGGCTCCTCCATCCCCATTTAGTCCATAGCTTCTATAGAGGAACATCTACTCAAAGAACGCATAGCTTTTTCAAGGTTGAAATAAGGGCTGCTAAGGTAACTGGTATAAACCTGGTACATCAACTAAACCCCCAAATCCCGCAAGCACATTTGGCAAAGACAACAATACATCAGATTGTGTTTCACTGACAATGAGCTCAACATCAATCACAAGGAACTCCCAAAAGAGGCTGAATACATTTAATGGAAATGCAATAAACTTAAATGACTGGAAGATCCCATTTGTTTAAGAGAAAACGCTAACTTCAGTTAGGGAGAAGTCAAATACATTATATACCCTCCTTAAGAGCTTCAGGCAACACTTTAGTATGAGCGTAACCCTTCTAGAAAATGATGCTCAGGGACAGGATTTTTGGGGAAATCGGATCAGATTAATAAGCCTATGCCAAACCATTTAAAGGCCACCTGTGCAGAAGTGAAATTATACTTCCCATAAGCTCCTTGCATAATAAAAACTCTGAATGCACAAGTCAAGTTGACAAGTAATTTAGCCTACCTCTTCACACACCTCTCGAACAGCAGCAACGTTGGGCTCTTCCTCCGGCTCCATCCCTCCACCAGGGACGATCCACTTGCCTGGATGACGGATACTACTCACCAACAACACCTGTAGGGTTGACAGTTATTTCAATTAATTAAAATAATATGCCCATACCTTCACAAGATTGTGTTGCTCTAATTGAATACCATTACTTGAGCACTAATATAGGCATATAACATAAATCAAGCGCTATAGAGCCCCACAGTGGAGGTGTCATAATACCCACAAAAAACCTAGCGGTCAAACAGGGAAATGGCTCCAATCATTTTTCCACCATTAATTTTCCCATAGGGAATTTTAGAAACACTTAACATAAGGGCTGTGTTTCATGTAGGCTTACCCTGGCATGACGTTTTGATAACCAGGTAAATCTCTCTCAAACAAGGTGACTTTTATCAATATATTCGGCTCCATTTACTCTCAGATTCGAAAATGCTAACTAGCATCAAAGTAGATCATGCAAGACTACAAATCCCTGCAAGTCATCTCTAGCTGCCACCTTTGCTAACAGGTATTGTGTCAATTTAAAACTTGCACAAGACGGTTCACAGAATTGTCAATTGAATGAAATGTATCCAATTTATGAATTACTACATTTAGCAAACAGATAGTTAATCCAGATATTCTTACCTTTGCCTCCATTCGGCAGTCTCGTCCAGGTCATCATGGCATTTGTAGTTCTTTATGATAACACATTAGCAGCTAATTAGCGTTTCATTTGGGGGGGGGGGGGGGGGGGGGGGGGGGGTAAATACAGGCGAATATATTGATAAAAGTAACTGTGTCCGAGAGATTTACATGGTTATCATCAAAACGTCACGCCAGGGTAAGCCTACACGAAACACAGCCCTTATTTTCAGTGTTTCTAAAATCCCATATGGGAAAAATGAATGGTGGAAAAACGATTGGAACCATTTCCTTGTTTGACCGCTAGGTTAAGGGTATTATGACTCATACTGTGGTACTCTATTTGCATGAGGTATGTCATGGATGCATTTGCTCCATGCCTTACATTTTTTGTTGGCCAACTCTTTTGATGATATGCACACATTGCAGAATTTGTTGCAATGGCCCAAAACTAACAGACACTGCATTGCATAAAAAGCTCACTGACAACACTGGGGAAATAAAGTTATTATATTATATTTAGTCTAGGCGTCTACGGTTAATGTCAGTTTGAGAATTGTATCACACAAAAACATGGCAACCGCCGGTGATGTTGTTGCCATCAATTCAATTTAGGCCTCGCCACCAAATATATGCCTTTCGTAAACAACTCGCCCTCTTCTCTTCATTCGGAATCACTACCTGCTGGCAACGTGGCAAACTGTTTATTCACAAGGCCCGTTCCACCACACCACTATAGCCTCGGACTTACCTCCTCCTCACTCTCGTTTCTGAAGCACAGACAGGCGGCGCGCTTCTTGTAGCCATCCCCGTCATATGTCCGCGTTTGATTCGATTTGATCTTCATCATTTCGGGGTCTCAAAAACGAAAAAAGTAAACAAAAATCGCTGGAAGACGTTCACAGCCCACTTGGTGAAACCTTGTATAAGTCTCGAAATTTCTAGAATAGACTTCTTCTCCGCTTCATTTTTGAAGACCTGGCCGCATCTCTTGTACAGACGCCATTATTAAAAAGCTGCGTAAATTACGCACCACCGGAGATAGAATAGTCAAACGTAGCCTAGGCTACACATATCGGTATTCACGTTTCAATCTTTGAGAATAAGAGTACACTATAAGCGCAGTTGTGATGTTTCTGGTTGGTCTAGTTTTACCTGGTTTGTATTATATTCTGAGTCCAACAGCCACACCCGGTTTCCCCCTATCCCCTCTCCATCATCCGCCTACTCAGTGCGCACCTAGGTGCCTCGTTTATACAATTATTTTATGCACAGATTTGATTGTTCTGTACGTTGAAAACCACGCCAACGTTGGGATTTATCAACCTTGAATTTGGCATGAAAATTTGCATTTAATGTTTATTTTTCATTAACAAATATATGATTAAGGCTATAGAAAAAAATTAAAATAGGGTTTTGTAACAAAGAATATGGCAAGGATCCTTTTCCAACCCTCATCCTCAAATAATATAAATAAACCTTTAGGTATAAACCAGAGGAGGCTGGTGGGAGGAGTAATAAGAAGAAGGGCTCATTGTATTGGCTGGAATGGAATCAATGGAACGTATCAAGCATCAGTTGTCAGAGCAGTTTACCGATCACTGTACCTGTACACAGCCCATCTGTAATTAGCCCACCCAACTACCTCATCCCCATATTGTTATTTACATTGTTATTTATAATTTGCACCCCAGTATCTCTATTTGCACATCATATTCTGCACATCTATCACTCCAGTATTAATACTAAATTGTAATTATTTTGCACTATGGCCTATTTATTGCCTTACCTCCATAACTTACTACATTTGCACACACTGTATATAGATTTTCTATTTTCTATTGTGTTATTGACTGTACGTTTTGTTTATTCCATATGTAACTCTGTGTTGTTGTTGTTTTTGTCGTACTGCTTTGCTTTATCTTGGCCAGGTCGCAGTTGTAAATGAGAACTTGTTCTCAACTGGCTTACCTGGTTAAATAAAGGTTAAATAAAAAAAATAAAAAATAAAAAAAACACATCAAACATACGGAAACCACGTTTGACTCCGTTCCAAAATTCCATTCCAGCCATTACAATGAGTCCATCCTCCTATAGCTCCCCCCACTGGCTTCGTATTGTTTATCTTCTATACAAGCACAAAATAGCCTATGGTATAGGCCTATTACCATGAAATAAGAATATAATTATAGCCTACTGAAATTAAAGGGATCTGGCCAATTTACAAATAATGTTTTCATTATGAGTAAATAGGCTATGCATTGTAACCATGTTATTGCCACTATTCCGAGCTATAATGTAAAGTCATATCGAACACTTTACGGAATGCACCTGTCAGTGGGGCCTAGACCCCTTTCGGTTCACTGTGGCTGTAGGTGACTTAATTGTCTGTGCCATGGATTACTGGAACGGAGCCAGACCAAATCACGCACACGTGACTGGTCTTTCTGGGAATGTTCCTGGGAAGACGTGCGCTCCATCAACAAGTAAAACTTGAAAAGGAAACATTGTTACAAAAATAAATAAATAAATATGCGCCCAGACCCTACTGGTACAGACTGATAGAGCGTCAAGTCATGCGTTTAGAGGGCAGCTCGTGGGGAACATTGTGGATTGCTTGTTGATTATATTCCTGAAATGTTCTGATCATACAGCAGGATACAAAGCAAGTGCTCCAAACCAGATCTTTCCAGCGCTGTGTCCGCTCAAGGCTTCAGTCATGAATTTCTGAGGATGTGACCTGTTTAACCAGTGCAGGTAAAATGAATGATCAGTTGTAGCAGCCAAATATATATTTTCTGCGTTATGGAATGTATGTTGCGAAAGACAGGAGAAACTGCCATGCGATTTCTATGACAGGAAGTGGCTTCATGCCTCAATATGACGTGAGTTGAGAGATTCAGCATAATCTTTTTTTTTCAGCATTAACATTAATAATTTTCCTATACAATCACATCACACTTTATTCAACATATTCGTTAGTATATTCGTAAGCATGTTCTATATTGCCAATTGACGATGTAGGCTATATTTGGCTATATAGAGCCTAGGTATCCAGTCTAACCGTTGCGCAAACTACACCATTTCCATGTAATAAACTGTAAAATACGTGTCATTTTGTTCTGGTTAGAGAAGATCTTCTGAGTAGGCTATTTCAAGGGTTGGACCACAGAACAATGAGATTAGTTAGTTATAAAACATATTTGGTTGGACCTTTGGGGTCTTCCATTTGTCCAACGACCATACTATTAAAAATAGTGAGTGGAATTATTAGGACACATGTAGGACGATGTACAGTGCCTTCAGGAATTATTCACACCCCTTGACTTGTTCCACATTTAGTTGTTACAAAGTGGGATTCAAATGGATTTAATTGACATTTTTTTTGTCAACGATCTACACAAAATACTCTGTCAAAGGGGAAGAAAAATTCGAAGATTTGTCAAACATTTATGAAAAATAAAACACTAATACAGTTGAAGTCGGAAGTTTACATACACTTAGGTTGGAGTCATTAAAACTCATTTTTCAACCACTCCACACATTTCTTGTTAACAAACTATAATTTTGGCAAGTTGGTAAGGACATCTACTTTGTGCATGACACAAGTCATTTTTCCATGACACAAGTCACACCATCCCAACCGTGAAGCACGGGGGTGTCAGCATCATGCTGTGGGGGTGCTTTGCTGCAGGAGGGTCTGGTGCACTTCACAAAATAGATGGCATCATGAAAAGGAAAATTATGTGGATATATTGAAGCAACATCTCAAGACATCAGTCAGGAAGTTAAAGCTTGGTCGCAAATGGGTCTTCCAAATGGACAATGACCCCAAGCATACTTCCAAAGTTGTGGCAAAATGGCTTAAGGACAACAAAGTCAAGGTATTGGAGTGGCCATCACAAAGCCCTGATCTCAATCCTATAGAAAATTTGTGGGCAGAACTGAAAAAGCATGTGCGTGCAAGGAGGCCTACAAACCTGACTCAGTTACTTACACCAGCTCTGTCAGGAGGAATGGGCCAAAATTCACCCAACTTATTGTGGGAAGCTTGTGGAAGGCTACCCGAAACATTTGACCCAAGTTAAACAATTTAAAGGCAATGCTACCAAATACTAATTGAGTGTAAGTAAACTTCTGACCCACTGGGTATGTGATGAAAGAAATTAAAGCTGAAATAAATCATTCCCTACTATTATTCTGACATTTCACATTCTTAAAATAAAGTGGTGATCCTAACTGACCTAAAACAGGGCATTTTTACTTGGATTAAATGTCAGGAATTGTGAAAAACTGAGTTTAAATGTATTTGGCTAAGGTGTATGTAAACTTCCGACTTCAACTGTATATCTTGATTAGATAAGTATTCAACCCCCTGAGTCAATCACCTTTGTCAGTGATTACAGCTGTGAGTCTTTCTGGGTAAGTCTCTAAGAGTTTTCCACACCTGTATTCTTCAAAAAATTATTCAAGCTCTGTCAAATTGGTTGTTGATAATTGCTAGACAACAATTTTCAGGTCTTGCCATAGATTGTCAAGCAGATTGAAGTCCAAACTGTAACTCTGCCACTCAGGAACATTCACTGTCTTCTTGGTAAGCAACTCCAGTGTAGATTTGGCCTTGTGTTTTAGGTTATTGTCCTGCTGAAAGGTGGATTCATCTCCCAGTGTCTGTTGGAAACCGTTTATTTTTTATCCTGAAAAACACCCCAGTCCTTAAGCATAGCCATAACATGATGCAGCCACCACTATGCTTGAAGATATAGAGAGTGGTACTCAGTAATGTGTTGTATTGGATTTGCCCCAAACATAGCATTTTGTGTTTAGGACAAAAAGTGAATTGCTTTACCACATTTCTTTGCAGTATTACTTTAACGCCTTGTCGCAAACAGTATGTCTCTATAAGCTTGGCACATCTAGCCACTGGGATTTCTTCCCATTCTTCAAGGCAAATATGCTCCAGCGCCTTCAAGTTTGCTCTACACCAGCGGAACCCATCCATCTTTAAATCATACCACAGATTGTCAGTTGGATTTAGGTCTGGGCTTTGACTAGGTCATTCCAAGACATTTAAATGTTTCCCCTTAAACCACTTCAGTGTTGCTTTAGCCGTATGCTTAGGGTCATTGTCCTGCTGGAAGGTGAACCTCCGTCCCAGTCTCAAATCTCTGGAAAACTGAAACAGGTTTCCCTCAAGAATTTCCCTGTATTTAGCGCCATCCATCATTCCTTCAATTCGGACCAGTTTCCCAGTCCCTGCCGATGAAAAACATCCCCACATCATGATGCTGCCACCACTATGCTGTGATGGTGTTCTCGGGGTGATGAGAGGTGTTGGGTTTGCGCCAGACATAGCGTTTTCCTTGATGGCCAAAAAGCTAAATTTTAGTCTAATCTGACCAGAGTACCTTCTTCCATATGTTTGGGGAGTCTCCCACATGCCTTTTGGTGAACACCAAACGTGTTTGCTTCTTTTTTTCTTTAAGCAATGGCTTTTTTCTGGCCACTCTTCCGTAAAGCCCAGCTCTGTGGAGTGTACAGCTTAAAGTGGTCCTATGGACAGATACTCCAATCTCCGCTGTGGAGCTTTGCATCTCCTTCAGGGTTATCTTTGGTCTCCTTGTTGCCTCTCTGATTAATGCCCTCCTTGCCTGGTCCGTGAGTTTTGGTGGGCGGCCCTCTCTTGGCAGGTTTGTTGTGGTGCCATATTCTTTACATTTTTTAATAATGGATTTATTGGTGCTCCGTGGGATGTTCAAAGTTTAGGAAATTTTCTAAAACCCAACCCTGATCTGTACTTCTCCACAACTTTGTCCCTGACCTGTTTGGAGAGCTCCTTGGTCTTCATGGTGCCGATTGCTTGGTGGTGGCCCTTGCTTAGTGGTGTTGCAGACTCTGAGGCCTTTCAGAACAGGTGTATATATACTGAGATCATGTGACACTTAGATTGCACACAGGTGGACTTTATTTAACTAATTATGTGACTTCTGAAGGTAATTGGTTGCACCAGATCTTATTTAGGGGCTTCATAGCGAAGGGAGTGAATACATATGCACGCACCACTTTTCCGTTATTTATTTTTTAGACTTTTTTGAAACAAGTTATTTTTTTCATTTCACTTCACCAATTTGGACTATTTTGTGTATGTCCATTACATGAAATCCAAATAAAAATCCATTTAAATTACAGGTTGTAACGCAACAAAATAGGAAAAACGCCAAGGGGGATGAATACTTTTGCAAGGCACTGTATTCAATGTCTGCCCTTTTTTGAGTGGCATTAGAAAACCTCCCTGGTCTTTGTGGTTGCATCTGTGTTTAAAATTCACTGCTCAACTGAGGGACCTTACAGATAGTTGTATGTGTGAGGTACAGAGATGAGGTAGTCATTCAAAAATCATGTTAAACACTGTTAATGCACACAGAGTCCATGCAACGTATTATGTGACCTGTTAAGCAAGGTTTTACTCCTGTGACTTATTTAAGCTTGCCATAACAAAGGGGTTGAATATTTATTGACTCAAGACATTTCAGCTTTTCATTTTTAATTAATTTGTAAAAATTTCAAAATACATTATTCCACTTTGACATTATGGGGGTATTGTGTGTAGGCCAGTGATAAAAAAAATCACAATTTAATCCATTTTAAATTCAGGCTGTAACACAACAAAATGTGGAAAAAGTCAAGGGGTGTGAATACTTTCTGAAGGCACTGTAGGCTATTCAACACAGCACATTATTCAAATCATGGAGTTATAATAACACATGTATTATGGCTAGGCGTCACAGTGTCTAGCTTTGGAAAATTCGTCATATAATTTTAATATAAAGAATTATCTGCCATTTACAGAGCATTCGGCAAGTGTTCAGACCACTTTACTTTTTCCACATTTTGTTACGTTACAGCGTTATTCAAAAATTGATTACATTGATTTTTACCCTCATCAATCTACACACAATACCCCATAATGACAAAGCAAAAATAGGTTTTTAGACATTTTTGCAAATGGATATTTAAAAATAACCCTGGAAATATCACATTTTCATAAGTATTCAGACCCTTTACTCAGTACTTTGTTGAAGCACCTTTGGCAGCGATTTCAGCCTTGAGTCTTCTTGGGTATGACGCTACAAGCTTGGAACACCTGTATTTGGGGAGTTTCTCCCATTCTTCTCTGCAGATCCTCTCAAGCTCTGTCAGGTTGGATGGGGAGCGTCGCTGCACAGCTATTTTCAGGTCTCTCCAGAGATGTTAGATCGGGTTCAAGTCTGGGCTCGAGCTGAGCCACTCAAGGACATTCAGAGACTTGCCCCGAAGCCACTCCTGCATTGTTTTGGCTATGTGCTAAGGGTTGTTGTCCTGCTAGAAGGTGAACCTTCGCCCCAGTCTGAGGTCCTGAGCGCTCTGGAGCAGGTTTTCATCAATAATCTCTCTGTACTTTGCTCCGTTCATCTTTGCCTCGATCCTGACTAGTCTCCAGGTCCCTGCCGCTGTAAAACATCCCCACAGCATGATGCTGCCACCACCATGCTTCACCGTAGGGATGGTGCCAGGTTTCCTCCAGACATGACGCTTGGCATTCAGGCCAAATAGTTCAATTTTGGTTTCATCAGACCAGAGAATCTTGTTTCTCATGGTCTGAGAGTCCACTGTGTTCTTGTGGACCTTCAATGCTGCAGAAATGTTTTGGTACCCTTCCCCAGATCTGTGCCTCGAAACAATCCTGTCTCGGAGCTCTACGGACAATTCCTTCAACCTCATGGCTTGGTTTTTGCTCTGACATGCAATGTCAACTGTGGGACCTTATATAGAAAGGTGTGTGCCTTTCCAAATCATGTCCAATCAATTTAATTTACCACAGGTGGACTCCAATCAAGTTGTAGAAACATCTCAAGGATGATCAATGGAAACAGGATGCAACTGATCTCAATTTCGAGTCTCATAGCAAAGGGTCTGAATACTTATGTAAATATGGTATTTTTTAAAATATATATTTTTATAAATATGCAAACATTTATAAAAACCTGTTTTCGCTTTCTCATTATGGTGTAGGTTGATGAGGGCAAAAAATTATTTAATATATTTATATATATAGAATAAGGCTGTAACGTAATAAAATGTGGAAAAAGTCCAGGGGTCTGAATACTTTCCGAATGCACTGTAGATTATTTGTGTGTCTGTTTGCGTTCTTTTTAAGATTTTGGATGTGTCACACACAGTGCATGTCTAAAATAGCGGACAGTGACTCCTACCAGACCTTGAGTCAATAAACAAATTGAGAACCATCGGACGCTCAAATCCTCCAGTGTACCATTACCGTCAGGCCCAATGAATATACCGACCAGTGCCCCCGACAAATCCCTCAACGCAATCCGGCTAAAGGACTGCAAGCTGGCGTCACCTCGAATTGAGTCAAGACTAAGAGAGGATGCCGCACGGTTGCAAAGAGCCATGTCTCACCTTCAGGAGTCAGGTTAGCATATTTTCATTATTGTAAGCCGACATTTCGATTTATGGACTAGTTCAGTTACAGTGTAGGGACTTTGAACACATTTTCAATTTTATTAGAATATTCAGACTACAGCCATATTGCATTACAACAGATTGAAATGTCGTATAAAAACAATTATCACAATTGAAACTTTATAGTCTGCTATATCAGACATGAATGTAGCCTAACATTTAAATTCAGATGACAATATGTAAAGAATGTTTGACAGCCTAAACTTATTGCACACTTATGCATCTAGTGTTCTTAGCCGCATGTCCATCTCCCTCTTGCACATGCTCCCCTCTCTCTGTGTTTTTCAGGCTGGTACTGGGGCCCCCTGACAGCTACTCAGGCTAAACAAGTTCTGATTGAAGCTCCAGAGGGAACTTTCCTGTTGTGGTACAGCTCCTACCAGGGCTACCTCCTCACCCTCTGTGAAGACTAGCCTTGGCCCCACACACCTCCGCATAGAGCACACCACTGGCATGTTTGGCTTTGACTCTGTGATTGTGGCACGGCCATGACTGCGGCAGTTTGAGGGTGCTGTAGATCTGATGCAGCACTATGCCTTGACTTACAAGCATCTGGCCAGTCAAAAGGAGAGACTCCGGGCTCAAATGGAACAGGAGGGGCAAACCCTTCGCCCCCTACAGAGAAAACTCTGCAGCTCAAGCTCACCCGGCCCCTCCATAAAGTAAATATAAATATAAAGTATGACAAAAAATAAAGGTAAGTCGCTCTGGATAAGAGCATCTGCTAAATGACAAAAAAAAAAAGGCTCCCCTAGTCTCCAGCACCTTTGCCACGTCACTATTAACCAGCATTCTCGCTGCCACCAGGACTTACCCTTGCCTGGGCGGCTACACGACTTCTTGCTGGAATACCCTTTTGTGCTGTAGGAAATGTTCATCTGATGTTTTGATATTCCTGAATTAGACTGTTAAATTGGACAATTTCGATCAATGATCGATGATCAATGTCCTAATGTAGTGCTGAAAATTGGCTCTCCTTTGCTGTATACATGCTGGTTCCTAGATGACAATTTAGCAGATTTCTCTATGTGTATTTTAACATTTTAGTCATTTAGCAGACGCTCTTATCAAGGGCGACTTACAGGAGCAATTAGGGTTAAGTGCCTTGTTCAAGGGAACATCGACAGATTTTTCACCTAGTCAGCTCGGGGATTCGAAGCAGCGACCTTTTGGTTACTGGCCCAATGCTGTTAACCGCTATGTATCAGAGGCAAAATTCACCTACTTATTACTATCTTAGGTTAGCTAAATTAACAATTGGGAGTACTGAAATGGAATGCTGAAATAAATTACATACAGAAGAACATGCCAAAGGGGAATAGATAAAAGCTTTGTTATTGTTCTATAAACAGTATTGAGGAAAGATTATTGCATAATGGACCACATTCATTAAAAACACTATACACTATTCAACCAAGTGATCTGATATACCATGGCTTTTATTATAGGGATTTTTTTTATGAATATCAATCTGCTGATGTAAAAAGGGCTTTGTAAATACATTTGATTGATGAAGGATTCCGGACTATCGTCTTGCCTTAGTTGTCTTATAGTGGATATGTCTTTATGCTGCAAAGGTGGCTGATCTGAGTGTCCTATCCATTCCCATTTTCTCTGAATCCTGCAGTGTAACTTCAAGGTTGTGTAGTTTCAGCTGATCACACTTTTATTTTATTTTTTAAGTCTGTCATTTTGTTACTCAATTTCAGGTCTAAATTGGGGTTGCTTTATGGATCTTCGAGATGCTGAAATAACCATCTCTTGGACTGAGGAATAACGCAATAACAAACTGTAAAAATGCTTCCTCATATCCTCCTACACTGCCTTATGTACAGTGTAAATGAGTGTGCACTTATGTTATTTGCAACCATTTGAAGATTAATATTAATATTGTTGTTCATTTTTATGATGATAACTGGTCTATGTCTCAAGGTCAGGGGAATTGCCCAATTGAAACAATGTAAGAATGTAATGTAAGAGAGTGTGGCATGTTTTCAATTTTCTTGTGGATATATACTTTGGTTACGTTGTTTTACAGGTAGCATTAAAATCTTGCACTGGTTTTTAAACAATCACTGTCTGTTTGGTCATGATTTTGGACTTGAGGGAATATATAATTAAATATAGAATTGTTGTTTTTAGTCATTATGCTGAATATGTTACAGAACATTTTAGGTACTATAAGCTTCGCATGGGAGGCTACAATAAACCAAATAAACCTAAAAGATATGTAAAATGAATGGATCATTATTTGTGTTTCCATGAAACGTTCTGCTTTTTTAATGTGAAATTCAAGTATAAGCTTAATCTATTTATTTTGTCACAGAGAATCTCATTTTTTTAGATAAGCCATAGAAATGTGATATTTTATAACTGCCTATTTTATAACTGTTTCTGTATCTGCCTCTTGAGAATGATTGAGAATAGCAAAAGTGCATTTTAACAGTATTTTGCTTAATCCCTTGACCTTGTTTGCTCAGCTCAGCTTGAGCTCACCGCTCTTTCTAGGAAAATAAAGACAGGGAAAATGCAGTGTTCTTTGAGGAAACCATAGAAACTGAGAGAGAGTGTGTGTTGCAGAGAGTGGGGGGAGTCTTTTACCTTTCCCAGAATGATTAAGCCTGTTTCTGTTTGACTCCAGTTCAACCACAGACTCTTTGTGAAGTGTCTCAGATTTTTCCTTTAATTTCAATGTGGACATTCAATGATTATTGTACAAAAACAATCTCCCCCTCGCAGCTTACATCATTGCAGAAAGATACTGTGATTGTGCACAGAGAAGGTTGGGGCTTATGCTGTAGTAATATGATCTTTCACTAATGCAGAGGTGTGTGTGTGTCTGAATGTGTCTGAGTGAGTCTGTGCCTGTGTGTCGGTGTGTGTTTTTGTTGAGCCTATTGAATAACTCAGTTCCTGGAATGAGGATTCCTGGAGGCTGCTGCACCCACAACTCACATCCACCGGATTCCCACTCAAAGCCCCAACTACAGAAAGAGAGAGGAAGAGAGAAAAATAGACAGAGACAGAGAAAGAGAGTGTGGCGGGTTAAGATGATTTTGAACAATCACTTTTCATGCCCTTTTCCACAATAATTTGCCATATTCATTCTTGTCTAATCAAACATCTTTATTACAGCTCTTTATAGCTTTACTACACATTCTTATCTACTGCTTACTTACCAGTAAGTGACTTCCTTAGAGGACCCTGACCTTGAACAAAACACTGTACATTATTGAAATAGCAGGTATGATTAATGAAAACACATATCGTATTTTAAAAAAATGATATATTGAATAAACAAACACAAATTACTCCGCTGTAGATAGGCTCTTTAGAACTGCCCAAATAATCAAAATGTTCTAGATTCAAAACACGCATAAACAGCAGAGCAACAAGTAGATGTACAGTAAATGCCCATGCCTTGAATTAATTTAGGTTTACATAGACCCACAAGTGCAAAGATGATTTCATCTTCCAAGCACCAACATGAGTGGAGGTCTCACATCAGGACAAACTTTCTCAGTGCCAAATATGATTGCTCTTTACTTTCTCCATTCTCTCCATCCCTGAACAAGGACACATCTTTTTCCCAACGTTTACCATAAGTCACCATGGTCTCCTTACTCTATGGTTCACAATGTACATGTTGGTTTCCCCCCCAATTTGACCAAGCTTTGTCCATTATCCGCCCTGTGCCTTCTCTCATTGTGTCTGCCTGCAGTTCTTGGTATTGAACTGGCTGCCTTTGTGCCAGACATGGAGTCATCTGTTCACATGAGCTTGTTCTCTGTTTTCCAGGGCCTAGCGAGGGGAAGGGATTGGTGGAGCAGAGCCCAATGGAGAGAGGGAGGGAGAGGGATGCACAAAAGAGTTGTTCTGATAATTTGTTTATTGCAATTCCGTCTGTCTATATTCCTGGAAGGAGGGAAATGCTGTGAGTCAACCCTCTCACTGCTGCACCCACTACCTCTTCCACCGCTCCTTCCTCCATACATTCCTAGCCCCTCAAGTGTATATGCATGCATACTCCAACTCTGCCACCACATGCTAAACAAGGCGCAGAAAGGCATTTCTACTGCAATATGCCCAGTAAAAAATGAAACAATATTGCTGCATTTGATTGGGGTCTTTAGTTGTTCTTGATCACATTACCTGGCCAGAAAAAAACTCTGGGTCCTCGAGGTAGAGGTTAAGGCCACTGACGTTCAATTTCACCCCATACAACTAAATCTCAACCCACCATACAACTACCCTCAAAAGAAGAAAAATTTGTAGTTGAACTTAACACAATATACAGGCCTACTAATATACCAAAGACTATCTGGTAAATTGGTTTGACGGTCCTTAAATGGTGTACAGTATGAGTTTGGCGACACGTACCGACGTATCAGGTGCATAGCACTCAGCTTCTGTCTGTTCCAGAGACGCTTCATTGGCTGCATCCCTCCGTCGCCCATTCCTTGCGTTCGTGATTTGGATTGTCAATCAAAGGGCTATTTTGTTTTCTTCCTGGCTGGCTAGCTGCAAAGTGACAGAGGAGTAACATTCGGTGAGTTTTCATTACAACCACTTTCCTGATTAAGGTAAATTGGACACAATTTAGAGCTAGCAATATGGTTATCTGCAGTGGGACTCTTCTAAGACACTTGCAATACGCCAAAGTGAAAAATAAATTGAGCTGCGCAAGCCAAAAGCTGTGCTACCAGGTTGATCTGTGACATAACGTTAGCTGGAGCTGCTCAATTCAGCAAGCTAAACGCACGACATTGCTTACATAACAACTTTAACGAGCCAAGAAATACAGCTAGTTACTAGGTTACCTAACATCGGGTTAAGCCCGGTTTATGCTACACGATTTTGGCCACCCAAAGCCGTCATACAACCAAGTGTGAATCTTTAAATTATTTGTAATAATTTAGCAAGAAATGTGAGTATTAGTTTGCTAACGCTAAATCAGATGGGTAAAATGTGACTTCTATTATGGGTCATATGCTCTCTACTATTACCATTTCACGTGGAAACCGTGGCTGGAAAGCAGATTTGAGGCCTCCATAAAAAAGCTTGCCATCATAGCTAGCTGTTGTGAGTGAAACTATTTACTCTGTACTCTTTGATCTATCTATATCAAATCTGGGTGAAGATTTCTCAGCCTTTTCCCCCTCTTTCTCATATGCCTAACCATGTGATTATATATTTGTTGGTCTTTTGGCCCTCTCAGGCAGATTTCACACTGATTAGTTAAAGGGGAGAGACCATGTGGAAGTCACATGAGCAACAAGGATGAGGCAAAAGCAACTGGGAGGAAACTGGTTGAGGAGAGGACTGCTGCCGCCTAACTTCTCAATCCGACTGGGGATTTGCTGCTTCTGAAGCCTGGCTGGGACAGCCTAGCAGCCCCTGACCCACCCTCCACCCACACATATGCAATGAACAGCACTACTCAGCCCCCTGCCACCATAGACGGGGATGTGGCAGTCAGCGCCGTGTTGGTACCATTCTTCCTGATCACCTTCATCGGGATAGTTGCAGCTGTGGTGAGTGGCTAACAGGGACATCACATGTTGGCATACAGTTAAGAAGTACTACTTTGATGAGTTAAAGCTTTTGATTTAAGAGCTTATAAAAGGACTGCATTACAACTCCGGCATTTTTATTTGAACCAGCTAAACTAGTTATCTTTTTTATTGCAGGTGCTGTATGTGCGCAAGAAGAGAAGGTAACTTCCTTTTATTCTCTTTCTTATTACTCTCAGCAGGTGTATGGTTACTTATTAAAGCTACATTATGTAACTTTTTGGGTGACCTGGCAAATTCACATAGAGATGCAGCGGTCTAAGGCACTGCATCTCAGTGCTTGAGGCGTCACTAGAGACCCCCTGGTTCGATTCCAGGCTGTATCACAACCGGCCGTGATTGGGAGTCCCATAGGGCGGCGCACAATTGGCCCAGTGTCCTCCGGGTTTGGCCGGTGTAGGCCGTCATTGTAAATAATAATTTGTTCTTAACTGACTTGCCTAGTTAAATAAAGGTAAAATAAAAATACATAAATAAGAAGCGGTAGATCTGTTCTATGTGTGCTATTTCTATGGTTCTCTTAAATTGAGTTTTTGTGTCTTTTACTTTCGGTTAATTACACCAGCTTTAAACAGATGAAAATACAATATTTTTGGTTATGGAAAATATATTTCACAGCGGTTTAGATGGTACAAGGATTCTCTACACAATGGCTGCTTGTTTTGTCAAATAAACTATTAGAATATTAGCAAACAGAAAATGGTGGAGTGATTTATGCATAGTGCACCTTTAAATTGGCCAACTCCTTTTGAACAATACACAGAAATCTTACAATAATGTCAAAAAATTGTCTTCTTGCATTGGTCACCATGTCACGGTACACTCCTTTCCTATTGTGTGTTTCAGAATTGACAGGCTCCGGCACCAGTTGCTTCCAGTCTATACTTACGACCCCTCCGAAGAATTACATGAAGTTGAACAGGAAATGCTGTGGAAAGAGGAAGATACGAAGGTATGATTTCACTCTCGTCTTCGTCTATGAATCAATTGAAAGGCTGCAGTAACATCTGAGATCCTTCCCTATGTGGCACTTTTACAAACACTAGATGGCGACATTGGCCACGCATAAATAAAGGCCTTTTTATTTAATGTAGTAGTATCAAATGGAGCAGCTTTGTGCTTCATCTTTGTAAAAAAAAAAATACAATACCAGTCAAAGGTTTGGACTCATTCCAGAGTTTGCCTTTATTTTTACTATTTTCTACATTGTAGAATAATAGTGAAGACATCAAAACTATGAAATAACACGTATGGAATCATGAAGTAACCAAAAAAGTGTTAAACAAATCAAAATATATTTTACATTTGAGATTCTTCAAAGTAGCCACCCTTTGCCTTGATGACAGCTTTGCACACTCTTGGCATTCTCTCAACCAGTTTCATGAGGTAGTCACCTGGAATGCATTTCAATTAACAGGTGTGCCTTGTTAAAAGTTAATTTGTGGAATTTCTTTCCTTCTTAATGCGTTTGAGCCAATCAGTTGTGTTGTTACAAGGTAGGGTGGTATACAGAAGATCGCCCTATTTGTTAAAAGACAAAGTCCATATTATGGCAAGAACAGCTCAAATAAGCAAAGAGAAACGACAGTCCATCATTACTTTAAGACATGAAGGTCAGTCAATACGGAAAATGTCAAGAACTTTGAAAGTTTCTTCAGGTGCAGTCGCAAAAACCATCAAGCGCTATGATGAAACTGGCTCTCATGATGTCCACCACAGGAATGGAAGACCCAGAGTTACCTCTGCTGCAGAGGATAAGTTCATTAGAGTTAACTTCACCTCAGATTGCAGCCCAAATAAATGCTTCACAGAGTTCAAGTAACAGACACATCTCAACATCAACTGTTCAGTGGAGACTGCTTGAATCAGGCCTTCATGGTCGAATTGCTGCAAAGAAAGTACTACTAAAGGATACCAATAAGAAGAAGAGACTTGCTTGGGCCAAGAAACACGAGAAATGGACATTAGACCAGTGGAAAGCTGTCCTTTGGTCTGATGAGTCCAAATTTTAGATTTTTGGTTCCAACCGCTGTGTCTTTGTGAGATGCAGAATAGGTGAACGGATGATCTCTGCATGTATGGTCCCCATCGTGAAGCATGGAGGAGGAGTTTTGATGGTGTGGGGATGCTTTGCTGGTGACACTGTCTATGATTTATTTAGAATTCAAGGAGCTCTTAACCAGCATGGCTACCACAGCATTCTGCAGCGATACGCCATCCCATCTGGTTTGCAGTTAGTGGGACTATTATTTGTTTTTCAACAGGACAATGACCCAAAACAGACCTCCAGGCTGTATAAGGGCTATTTGACCAAGGAGAGTGATTGAGTGCTACATTTACATTTACATTTTTGTCATTTAGCAGACGCTCTTATCCAGAGCGACTTACAGGAGCAATTAGGGTTAAGTGCCTTGCTCAAGGGCACATCGACAGATTTTTCACCTAGTCGGCTCTGGGATTAGAACCAGCGACCTTTCGGTTACTGGCACAACGCTCTTAACCACTAAGCTACCTGCCGCCCTACATCAGATGACCTGGCCTCCACAATCACCTGACCTCAACCCAATTGAGATGGTTTGGGATGAGTTGGACCGCAGCGTGAAGGAAAAGCAGCCAACAAGTGCTCAGCATATGTGGGAACACCTTCAAGACTGTTGGAAAAGCATTCCTCATGAAGCTGGTTGAGAGAATGCCAAGAGTGTGCAAAGCTGTCAAGGCAAAGGGTGGCTACTTTGAAGAATCTCAAATATAAAATATATTTTGATTTGTTTAACACCTTTTTGGTTACTACATGATTCCATGTGTGTTATTTCATGGTTTTGATGTCTTCACTATTATTATACAATGTAGAAAATAGTAAAAATAAAGAAAAACCGTTGAATGAGTTGGTGTGTCCAAACTTTTGACTGGTACTGTATATATTTTAATAAAAGATCAGTCCTGAAAGTGGAGCTGTAGGATAATCAATGCTGCCTTTAAAAAATATTTGATGAATGACGATATTAACTAATGTAGAGATTTATTTGAGAACTTGGTCAACCGCAGGTCACCTAGCGGTTAATGGTGTGGGGCCAGTAACCGAAAGGTCGCTGGTTTGAATCCCCAAGCCGACTAGGTGCAAAATATGCCGATGTGCCCTTGAGCAAGGCACTTAACCCTAATTGCTCTTGTAAGTTGCTCTGGATAAGAGCGTCTCCTAAATGACAAAAATGTAAAGATAGGTTTATTTTGCAGAGATGCGGTATGACTATGTACCCTCGCTTATATGTGAAAAGAGTTTGTAGCATCCTGACCGCGCGTCGGATGCCTTTCTATCTCCCAGAGAATATTGTCTCCCGAATTGCTATCACTTTACGTTTCTGCGCGGTATAAATTGCGTGTCGGCCGCGTGGGGAAAAACTCCCCTAGCTGGATCTGTTGGAGCTTGAGGTGTCGTTTCCAACACTGGTGTAAGTCAATTCAGCTGTAGGCACACCTTGTGGGTCACTTAAGATATTTGCACACAGTGTTTATTTCAAATGCATGCCATATACAACAGTAATGAAGAACATCTGACTGTCGCCTGAGTTTATCTGAAATCTAGTATGTGACTTTGTGTCTTCAGGTGGTGAAGGGTTGGGCACGATCCTACCAGCAGCAACGTCCCCTGTTGATGAAAGATACCCATGCATGAGTGTGTTGGAGCAGGACATAGATCTGTGACATCATACAGATCAGTGGAGTTAACCCTTGAGATGCCAGATTTGTCAATCATTCAACACAAAGGGGATTTAGGAAAAGCATGGACAAGTGTGGAGAACAGCCTGTCATGCCTTCCGCATCATCACAGACTTTGTCATTACCACCGTCATGCTCCTCCTCATCATCAGTCATCATCATCTCTGTTGGAGCATTTACTTTGTACAGTGTCAGCCTCTAAGCTAAGGGGAGGTTGGTTATTATGTGATTGTGAACCTCTGATGCCATGCCCATGTGCCCAAAAGCTGCACCATACCCTAAACCACGACATGTTGGCTAACTACTGGTGGACATTTATTTATTTGAGATTATTTATTCACGTTTTTTTTAAACTGTGTTTGTGTGTTATGATGTGGGAGTTACTGAAGCTAAGATGGTACCATCAATCCAGACTAGACATGGGGGTGTTACATTTGCCTTAAATGTCTATTGTTGCTGTTTTTAAGTAGTAGTATACCAGTGAGATTAGCAAAGCCTTGACATTTGGTGGGATGCTTACCGTTGTACTACTAGTTTTAGTGGTGTAAATTTAGTTTACTATGTCCCTCACGTTTCAATGTCATAGAAGTTACACAGAAGGTATGCAATCAATCAGTTTGAGTCCTTAAGTTACTGTTTTGGTTCCCTGTTTGTGGCACATTGAATACCATTATCAAAGCATCCAAAAGAATACCTCCTCCTCGTCATCATCCAGATACTGTATGTTATGATGAAAAGGTGGTGAAATCAGAAGGAGGATGTGTAGAGAGAAGAGATGGCAAATGAATGTAGCTTGTCAACCAACCTCCCCCTACCCCACCCACTCCTCTCCACTATTTAGCTGTGACTACTGCCCTAAAAATGTCCTGTTGGGAAGACAGGGCACCAGGATAATTGTTCTTCTAGCGGAATAATCCCATTCGAAGAATGCCGTAGGCCTGACTGTATACAGTACTCAGGAAACCTCAGCCACCAACATCTTTAAAGAAAAAAGTGACCAGTGATTCATCCTTGAATTACATGTGCTCTAAGTTACCTTCCTTTCCTCCTTGCATTTGTGAATGTCATGTACAGTGGGGGAAAAAAGTATTTAGTCAGCCACCAATTGTGCAAGTTCTCCCACTTAAAAAGATGAGAGAGGCCTGTAATTTTCATCATAGGTACACGTCAACTATGACAGACAAAATTAGAATATTTTTTCCAGAAAATCACATTGTAGGATTTTTAATGAATTTATTTGCAAATTATGGTGGAAAATAAGTATTTGGTCAATAACAAAAGTTTCTCAATACTTTGTTATATACCCTTTGTTGGCAATGACACAGGTCAAACGTTTTCTATAAGTCTTCACAAGGTTTTCACACACTGTTGCTGGTATTTTGGCCCATTCCTCCATGCAGATCTCCTCTAGAGCAGTGATGTTTTGGGGCTGTCGCTGGGCAACACAGACTTTCAACTCCCTCTAAAGATTTTCTATGGGGTTGAGATCTGGAGACTGGCTAGGCCACTCCAGGACCTTGAAATGCTTCTTACGAAGCCACTCCTTCGTTGCCCGGGCGGTGTGTTTGGGATCATTGTCATGCTGAAAGACCCAGCCACGTTTCATCTTCAATGCCCTTGCTGATGGAAGGAGGTTTTCACTCAAAATCTCACGATACATGGCCCCATTCATTCTTTCCTTTACACGGATCAGTCGTCCTGGTCCCTTTGCAGAAAAACAGCCCCAAAGCATGATGTTTCCACCCCCATGCTTCACAGTAGGTATGGTGTTCTTTGGATGCAACTCAGCATTCTTTGTCCTCCAAACATGACGAGTTGAGTTTTTACCAAAAAGTTCTATTTTGGTTTCATCTGACCATATGACATTCTCCCAATCCTCTTCTGGATCATCCAAATGCACTGTAGCAAACTTCAGACGGGCCTGGACATGTACTGGCTTAAGCAGGGGGACACGTCTCGCACTGCAGGATTTGAGTCCCTGGCGGCGTAGTGTGTTACTGATGGTAGGCTTTGTTACTTTGGTCCCAGCTCCCTGCAGGTCATTCACTAGGTCCCCCCGTGTGGTTCTGGGATTTTTGCTCACCGTTCTTGTGATCATTTTGACCCCACGGGGTGAGATCTTGCGTGGAGCCCCAGATCGAGGGAGATTATCAGTGGTCTTGTATGTCTTCCATTTCCTAATAATTGCTCCCACAGTTGATTTCTTCAAACCAAGCTGCTTACCTATTGCAGATTCAGTCTTCCCAGCATGGTGCAGGTCTACAATTTTGTTTCTGGTGTCCTTTGACAGCTCTTTGGTCTTGGCCATAGTGGAGTTTGGAGTGTGACTGTTTGAGGTTGTGGACAGGTGTCTTTTATACTGATAACAAGTTCAAACAGGTGCCATTAATACAGGTAAAAAGTGGAGGACAGAGGAGCCTCTTTAAGAAGAAGTTACAGATCTGTGAGAGCCAGAAATCTTGCTTGTTTGTAGGTGACCAAATACTTATTTCCACCATAATTTGCAAATAAATTCATAAAAAATCCTACAATGTGATTTTCTGGATTTTTTTTCTTCTCAATTTGTCTGTCATAGTTGACGTGTACCTATGAAGAAAATTACAGGCCTCTCATCTTTTTAAGTGGGAGAACTTGCACAATTGGTGGCTGACTAAATACTTTTTCCCCCCCACTGTATTTAGGATGAGAAGGATGAAGGCTTCCATTGAAATCAATCATCTTATCAGCACATGTACAGTACCAGTCAAAAGTTTGGACACACCTACTCATTCAAGGGTTTTTCTTTCTTTTTACTATTTTCTACATTGTAGAATAATAGTGAAGACATCAAAACTATGAAATAACACAAATTGAATTATGTAGTAACTAAAGTGTTAAAAATATCAAAATATATTTTATATTTGAGTTCCCACATATGCTGAGCACTTGTTGGCTGCTTTTCCTTCACTCTGCCGTCCGACTCATCCCAAACCATCTCAATTGGGTTGAGGTCGGGGGATTGTGGAGGCCAGGTCATCTGACGCAGCACTCCATCACTCTCCTTCTTGGTCAAATAGCCCTTACACAGCCTGGAGGTGTGTTGAGTCATTGTCCTGTTGAAAAACAAATGATAGTCCCACTAAGCCCAAACCAGATGGGATGGCGTATCGCTGCAGAATGCTGTGGTAGCCATGCTGTTAAGTGTGCCTTGAATTCTAAATAAATCACAGACAGTGTAACCAGCAAAGCACCCCCACACCATAACACCTCCTCCATTCTTTACGGTGGGAACTACACATGTGGAGATCATCCTTTCACCCACACTGCGTCTCACAAAGACACAGTGGTTTGAACCAAAAATCTCAAATTTGGACTCCAGACCAAAGGACACATTTCCACAGGTCTAATTTCCATTGCTTGTGTTTCTTGGCCCAAGCAGGTCTCTTCTTCTTATTGGTGACTTTTAGTAGTGGTTTCTTTGCAGCAATTTGACCATGAAGGCCTGATTCACATAGTCCCCTCTGAACAGTAGATGTTGAGATGTGTCTGTGACTTGAACTCTGTGAAGCATTTATTTGGGCTGGTAACTCTAATTAACTTATTCTCTGCAGCAGAGGTATATCTGGGTCTTCCATTCCTGTGGTGGTCCTCATGAGAGACAGTTTCTTCATAGCACTTGATGGTTTTTGCGACTGCACTTGAAGAAACTTTAAAAGTTCTTGAAATATTCTGTATTGACTGTACTTCATGTCTTAAAGTAATGATGGACGGTTATTTTTCTTTGCTTATTTGAGCTGTTCTTGCCATATAATGGACTTGGTCTTTTACCAAATAGGGCTATCTTCTGTATACACCCCCTCCCTACCAACACAACTGAATGTCTCAAACGCATTAAGGAAAGAAATTCCACAAATTAACTGTTAACAAGGCACACCTGAGGAATCTCAAATATAAAATATATTTGGGTTTGTTTAACACTTTTTTTGGTTACTACATGATTCCATATGTGTTATTTCATAGTTTTGATGTCTTCACTATTATTCTACAATGTAAAATTAAAGAAAAACCCTTGAGTGAGTAGGTGTGTCCAAACTTTTGACTGGTATTTACAGTATGTTGGAATCCACTTGATAAGAATTTAAACATGGCTATATACACTGTGTACAAAGCATTAAGAACACCTTCCTAATATTGAGTTGCACCCCTCCCTTCTCAGAACAGCCTCAATTTGTCGGGGCATGGACTCTGCAAGGTGTCGCAAGCGTTTCACAGGGATGCTGGTGCATGTTGACTCAAATGCTTCCCACAGTTGTGTCAAGTTGGCTGGATTTTGGCCTGGCACCTACTACCATACCCAGTTCAAAGGCACTTCAATATTTTGTCTTGCCCATTCACCCTCCGAATGGCACACATACACAATCCATGTCTCAAGGCATAAAAATCCTTCTTTAACCTGTCTCCTTCCCTTCATCTACACTGATTGAAGTAGATTCATCAAGTGACATCAATAAGGGATCATAGCTTTCACCTGGTCAGTCTATGTCATGGAAAGACTTGTTTTGTACACTCAGTGTAGAGCAGGTATTTCCATTTATTTTAATGTGGAATTGAAACTTTTGACATGAATAGTTGACTTTCTCCTGAATGCGAACTGCTACATATTACTCTCCACTATTTATAAAGTCTATGATTTAATTCCCATGCACATTAAACATATAATAAAGCATTTGATTAAAATGCATTGCACTGTTCCAAACATGGCAACCCTGCTTACTATTAACAGTTTCTTTGGGGAATTGCAGTGCCAAATTCTGAAAGAATCCAGGATATAGACTGCTGTTGAAAATACTAATTTTAAATTTAATTTTGACTGTTATCAAGGTTTCACACACTTGTTAAAAGACTGATTAATTGTTTTGCTTGATTGTACTGTCCATGAAGTAAACTTGTATATATCTTACAGTGAGATTATGGACA